GGCAAGCCAGAGTTGAACCTGCGACCGCTGCAGCGGCAGTGAATCGCCTTTGTATATCGGGTGCCGGCACTATCCACTACGCTACCGACACCCCTACCTGTCCATGTTGATCATATGACAGTAACATGTCACACAGTGTAGCTCAGTGATGTGGTGAAAAAAGTTTCTGGACAACAATAAAGATCTACAGCACAGAGAATTAAGATATATCAGGTATAAGTTACACAGACGATACTTTAACAAGATCATTTTATGGTTGTTTTTGGTCTTTTTCATGAGATTTCCATCAAAATAGTTTCAGTGTCACTTAAAAAAAACTGGAACTTGAACTGAAGTGTCACAATATTGTTTCTTCACTCCCCACATCCTTCCAGTGTTCATAACAATGAGCCAAACATGATGTTGTCACATTTGAAAAGGGTAGAAAGCATCACACTTGTAATGCATACAAGAGAGGGCATAGTATGTTTTCAAAAAAGTTTCAAAAAATAAGTTCCAATTTACAAACAAGGGAAAAATCCAGGAGTTTTGGGTAAAATTTTAAAAGGCCACACAATATTAAAGGTGTTTTATTCTAATCATGATGAACTTTATATTTAATTCTTACACCTTACAGATGAAAATGTTGCAAGCCAAGTATTTCAGTAGACAAAATATTTCAATAAAATGATGAAGGCAATAAAAAAACTTCTTAAAAGCAAGATTTAAAAGATGTTTCCAGATGTTGAGTTTCATATTCTCAGTGATCTATAACCGTCATCTTAAATGATAGGCTCACATTTTTTCTGTCTGTCTCAAAGTAATAATCAGGTGCCCATATGAATGTCGAAACAAGTTTTACGGGCTTTAGTCATGTCTCATTAGGAAGAGATGTTGTGATGTTGTTGTTGATGATGTCAGAATGATTTCAGCAAGACAAACCTGTTTAAATGGGCCCCTGTCTGCTGTCTGAACCCATCCTTTAACTGTTGGTACATTAAATGTTGTTGTGTTTGATGACCTGCCATGGCTATGACAATGCTAAACCATTTGGAGACTTGTTAACTATAGCAGTTTAAAATGTGGATATTTCTTTAAAGGAATAGTTTGGATCTTTTGAAGTGGAGTTGTATGAGGTACTTATCCATAGTCAGTGTATTACATACAGTAGATGGCAGTTGGCACACTCGCACTTTGGGGAAACAGACAGAAGTACTGCCACAGAAGCCAAGTCATGTACTGCTGTGGACGGGGGCAGCAGCAAAACATATTCTATGTTATATTCATATTTTTATTGCTTCACCTTGCCGTCACACGGCTTTCCGTGAACTCAAAGTGAAACTTTTTTATGCTCTCTTCAAAGGCACCAGACTCCATTGACAAAACCAGTAATTTTACCTAGCAGAACACTGGACCTGCTGATCTACTGCTGCCTCGATCACCTAGTTAGTTTGTGACATTGTGTGAATTTGGTGAATCCGGACTAACCCTTTAAAACACAAAAGTCACACAATAACACAAACAAACTAACCATTCGGGGAGCGGCCAACCAGCAGGTCCCGTGTTCTGCGAGGTAAAATTACTGGTTTTGTCAATGGAGTCTGGTGCCTTTGAGGAGAGCAAAGGTAACCACTTCGGTTCCCTGTTGGAAATCAGTGGCTAACGGCAAGATGAAGCAGTTAAACTTACTTAAACTGCTATTGATGTTTTTAGGTCAGTAGTTCCTAACTGGTGGGTCGTGGTCCAAAAGTGGGTCGCGGGCACATTCCAAAAAGGCCGCAATTAACTGGCGAATGTGTCTAGTTTGTAAAAAACACTTTCTTTTTAAGGTCAGTAAATTTCCAGCAAAGAGCTTTTATTTTGAAGTGCTGTTTCCTGCTAGAGTGAGTGACTTCCGGACAGCTATTTGACAGAGACAGAAAACTAGCTCAACGACATGGCAAGTAGCGCAAGTATGACGCCAAATGTATTGAACTGTGGGACCTCGAACTAATGATCAAGGAGAAATCTGGACCCTGGGGCTGGACCAGTTGGGAACCACTGTTTTAGATAGCTTAACTTCTGTGCTGGCACTGCTGCCTGCTCTCAAACTGGGGATGCGCCGACTGCCACCTACTCAATGTAATACACTGATGATAGACAAGTATCTCATACAACCCCACGTAAAAAACTCTGAACTATCCCTTTAAGAAAGTTTGACATTAGCACCAGAAACTAAACTCCCCCTCCTCCTCAAAGCTGCGGCTGCTGTACGAAGGTAACCCCATGGCCTTCATCATGGAGCAGGCAGGCGGCATGGCCTCCACCGGCTACGAGCGCATTCTGGACATCCAGCCTCAGAGCATCCACGAGCGCTCTCCCGTGGCTATGGGCTCCCCTGACGACGTCCTGGAGTACATCGCCATCTGTAAGAAGCATGCCAAGAAGTGAGACCACACTGACTCACTCACAACCATCTCTGTCTGACGAGATACCTCGTACCTCCAAACTGGAATCCTGCCTCATTTTGAGCTCGATGTAATTGTGTCTTGTCTTAAGCCTAAAAACTGTGAGGGGATTTTCTCAGTTTAAACACAAATTTGAAGTACAAGGTTTTTAACTCCATACCAGCAACATTCATGTTTTATTTATAGAAAGCTGACGGATAATCAAAGAAGGTGGTTCAGTGGAAACATTAAAACTGTGGTTCATAAGCTCTGTTATGCACACAAACGCACACATTCCACAAATAAACTACCAAAGACTAAAAATGTGCCAAAAACAAATGCACTTGAATCAACTCCTGTTTACCTCCAGCTGTGCCTTTTTAATTAGAATGAGGATACTTTGTAGATGTGTAAAGGACCAAATGCAAGAAAACCTGATGCCTTTTTTATTCTGTGAACAACTACTGTTTGAAATGATTTGAATGAAGTCTCTCAATAAATCCAAATGAGTCTACCAAGACAAAATCAGTGTTTTCATCATTTAAACAAACTTCTGTTTTTGCAGAAAGATGTTCCAAGACACATGCCGCCTTTTACATATGTAGATAGCATGCACAAATACCAAATGAAGTGCAAGAATATAAACTTTGTGCATTTTGAAAATTGAAAAGTTGGAAGATACACCGATCAGCCAAACCATTAAAACCACTGACAAATGAGGTGAAGTTGAGTATCCAGGTAGATGTTCCCCTGCTATGGCATTACTGCCTGTCGCACCTCTTCTGGTGCCTAATGGTTGGCCAGCTGCAGCGTCATCAGCCAGGTGCAACCGCTCATCAACGTTTCACTTCTTTAAACCTGAAACCTGGTGGTGGAGCAGTAGCAGGGACGTCTCCCTGCCACCCCCTGCAGCTAGGCCTGGGTGGGGCGCCACCTAGCCAAGCTCTGGCTAAGTGGCACCCCAACTCTTGCTAGAAGCTGCTCCTTTCTGCCTCCTCCACCAAGTCCTTGAGTGCCTTGAGTTGGTTTGCTCCAGTTATCCCCATCTCCGTCATGAGGCGAACGGCTGACGTACCCACGAAGCCAAGGCATCCTACTTCAACTGGATAGATGGTGGTTCTCCAGCCTGCCTCCTTGCATTCAGCAGCAAGGTCTGAGTACTTCAGCCTCTTCCTCTCTGAGGCAGCTTCGATCCCTGTCTCCCATGGGACAGTTAGCTCGATGAAGAGCATGGTCTTGATGCTGCTGGACCACATCACAATGTCCGGGCGAGATGGTAGGGCTCCTGACAAATGAGGTGACTAGCATTGATCGTCTTGTTACAATCAATGTGAAACTTCTGGGTCCTGGCATTCATGTGGATGCTTCTTTATGTGCTCCTCCCACCCAGACATTGTTACAGACCAAGTACCCCCTGTCATGGCGGCAGCACTCCGCGATGGCAGTGGCCCCTCAGCAGGACAATGCACCATGCCACACCATAAAAACTGCTCAAGAATGACCCGAGTAATGTGACAGAGCTCAACCTGGCCTCAAAATTCTCCAGATCCCGATCTCATTGAGTGTCTGTAGGATGTGCTGGTACCCCATCTCACAACTCGCAGGACTCAAAGGATCCGCCACCAGTGCCCTAATGCCAGACATCACAAGACACCCCCAGAGGTCCTGGGTCTATGCGTCAATAAGTCAGAGCCAAGTCTGATCCAAAGTGTCTCCACCGTAGATCGGAAGTACCTCTGGGGTACCGATCGCTTGATCAGATTGGGATCTGGGTGGTTTGGAGGTCAGGTTGATGCCTTGAGCTTGTTGTCACGTACCTCACGTCAGTTTTTGTGGTGTGGCATGTTGCACTGTCCTGCCGTGTGCTACGCTGCCATCAAGGAGTGTCGTTGCCATGAGGGGGTGTACTTCGTCTATAATGTTGTCTGAATGGGTGTAACGCATCAAGTAGTATCCAGATGACTGCCAGGATACAAGGTTTCCCAGCAGTACATTGCACTGTTGTTCACCTCATTTGCCAGTGGTTATATCTTGGCTCATAGGTGTATACCATCTTCACAAGTTAAGAGATACTTTATCCAGGGGAGTTGACCTTTAAACTAAAGGTCAAAGAAAGCTCACAGAGACCTAATGACATTTAAAGCTCACTTGTTCTGCCAAAGCCCAGCAGCTGCTTTCTACTCTCTTGATATTAACTCATGACTTGTTCGTCAAATGAACTTAGACAAAGAAAGTTGTTTCTTTATTGTCACAGCAGCAGCAGCAGCAGCAGACTTCTCAGGTTCATGTGCAAACAAATGTGGTGAAAATCCAGAGAATTTACCTAAGAGCTCTCATGTTACCCAAGTTTTGAGTTACTGTTGTCTAACATGTTGCAAGCTTCTTTTTTGACTAATAGCAGGGCTTGTCTTATGCAGGATCAAACTGTGCCATCCTCTTTTTTGACTAAAGGAATAGCAGGGCTTGTCTTATGCAGGATCAAACTGTGCCATCCTCTTCAGCTGACACCTGACACCCCCTCACATGCCAAATACTCATACACACACACGTACTCTTCCATTGGCTGCACTTACAAATAGCTCCCCTTGGCTTGCCTTCATTGCTCTGGGTATGAAAAGGCCTTGGCTGGTAAGGAGGTCACTCACTTGCTGCCTATTCTCTGCTCAATCTGCTGCTGCTGCCCACTAGAAGGGATACAAGGACCAGACACCAGCATGTCAGACCAGTCGGAGTTTGACACAGACGTATGGACCCTGACCCGGTTTGTCATTGAGACTGGGCGCCAGGCGAAGGGGGCGACCGGTGAACTGACCCAGCTCATCAATGCCATGCTGACTGCAATCAAAGCCATCTCGTCTGCTGTGCGTAAGGCAGGGCTGGCCCACCTGTAAGTACCGAGGCACTGGAATGGGCTTACTGGGAACCATTGATGAATATGCACCATTACATTGCTGACTGATATAAAGAGATAAGTAGACCATTTGAATTTTGCATCACTTCCACTGCAGATTTAGGAGCAAAGAGTGACTCAAGGGTTGAGGCTGTGTTCCCTGAGGGTTTAGGAGCTGTCTGAGCCACACATGATATGACTGATTGTTTTGTATGGCGTACAAGTCACGTTGCTGTACTGCAAGCAAAGCCAGTGACATTTGTATGACTTCAGGTGTATTTCAACACTCTAATCTGGAAGTGATAAAAGAACTTTTCTGGCAAGATAACCAGTTCTTTGTCAGAGAGATTGATATTGGAGAGAAGCCAAGCTAAAAGGGGTCGATTTCTGGCTGTAGTTTTGAGCTGAGGCTCTTGTAGCAGCCATAAGTTTTAGGTTGCACACAGATCTTGACATCCAAGCATGGCTCTGTTCCTAAACTCCGCCTTGCACAGCCAAACCCTGAACATACAGTAACCATTACAGTAACTGATGTAACTTGATTTTTTTGGCGCTTGTTGAGAGGGATACACAGCCTGAAAGTAAATGCTGCTGTTAAGATTTATAGGGTGAATAAGTGCAAGTACCCTTTAGGTGTTAAAGCAGCTGTGCGGAGCTTTTTACCATTTATAAAACTGTCCCTAGTTAGTATCACCCCCCCTTGAAGATCTGCATATTTATTTGAACCCAACAGCAACAAAAAAGCGTTTATTTAGCGTAGCCTCGGTCAGGTCGGACACAGCGTCAGTTAAACCAGAATATAGTCAGCAAACCAGAATACAGCACCCGGAGGCGGAAGTAAGTCTGCACGCCATTAAACCACAGAAGAAGAAGGAACCGTGTTTACAAGTAGGATTTAAGAAACAGGCTAAATGACATGTAGTAGGGAGTAGTGAATGATTTCGGACACACTGCACACTCTTGTACAGTAGGTGGTAGTATGCACCTGGAAGTTGTTTGCGATCCGCCAATAAATTGAGAGAAGAAGAAGAAGAGCCGTGTTTACAGAGAGTGTTCTTCGAGTAAGCGGTACACAGCGGACATTGCTGAACACATAACAGTTTTACCAGATGTATCTATAAGGACTTGGTTGTACTTTCGATGTCATGGCAGATAAAGAAGGAGCACCATTGAAAAGAAAAAGAACAGAAGAAGGCTAAACGGGACAGTGATAGGGCTCGAGCCCAAACGCATGTAAACCTCGGTTGGGCATTCACCAAGTGGAGAGAGCTGAGAGATTTGAAAGGTTCTAAAAATGATCCTGAGTTGGCCCTTTTCCTAATCGACAGGTATGTAATTTTTGCTTTTATTTAGAAAGTTTGAAGTGAAACAACGTCTAACAAGTTGCGGTATATTCTCTAAATAAAAACAAAAATTACATACCTGTTGATTAGGAAAAGGGCCAACCTGTTAAACTGTTATGTGTTCAACAATGTCCATTGCGTACCGCTTACTCGAAGAACACTCTCTGCAAACACGGCTCTTCTTCTTCTCTCAATTTATTGGCGGATCGCAAACAACTTCCAGGTGCATACCACCACCTACTGTACAAGAGACTACTCCCTACTACATGTCATTTAGCCTGTTTCTTAAATCCTACTCGTAAACACGGCTCCTTTTTCTTCTGTGGTTTAATGGCTGTGGGCCGCTGCGGGCGTGCAGACTTACTTCCGCCTCCGGGTGCCATATTCTGGTTTGTTGACTTCCGCTGTGTCCGACCCGAGCCAGGCTACACTAAATAGCCATATAGAGAAAGGCTTCTTTTGTCGGTGTTGGGTTCAAATAAATATGAGGATCTTCAAGGGGAGGTGATACGAACTAGGGACAGTTTTATAAATGGTAAAAGGTTCCGCACATCTGCTTTAAACTTAGGTAAAGTGGCTGATATTCATGCAGTAATACTGAAAATAGTTGACATATTTAGGACTTTTAAGCAGTGTACGGACATGTTTTTAGATTTATAACACACTATAATGTAGTTGTATGCAGATGTAAGACTATTTTTTATTAAAATACAGTATGTGCAACATCATAACTCTTTCTGTGAAGACATGTTTTATTATTTTATCCTTCATTGTCTATTCATACAGCAGCCTCCAAATGCAGGTGCCCATAAGAGCAGCTACAGATACATTCATCAACACTACAGCTACAAGTGTTTCCCCTAAATTATTCATGGAATTCCACACACATCGAAATTATGTAACCAAACACAAGCCAGCATTGTTTGAAGCTAAAGGGAGATAATTGATGTTCACAAGCCGACTACATGCATCTTGGGGGGAACCACAGCTAGCTAGCTTCTGAATCTCTTTTTTTTTCATGGGTTGCATGCTGACAAGTTCTCTCTCCAATCTGCCGTCTCACCAATATAAAGAAACTAGATGGCACTCTGCTCAAAGCACCACATACTGCTATTTCACCTAAGCTGGCTAATGTTACAACTCAGCTGAGGAGGTAACTGTTAATTTTACATCTCACGCTATCATTATCACCAGCCTCTCATCCATGAGTAGATGCACACTTCCTTCTGCGCAATGATACAGTTGGCAGGTGTAGTTCAGTAGAAAGAAAACAGTTCCTACATGAAGCTTTTAACAACAAGGTCTGTAGATTACCTTGAGTAAGCCGGTCATGATGTCTGGAAAGAGACAGAAGTAAAAGTATAAAGCTTCATGAATTGAAAACAAGTACCTTGAAACTGTATGTTTAAGGGAACTAAAACCATTTTTAAAATTCATACATGTTATTCCTATGGTCTGTGGAAGTCCAAAAATATTAGTAAACATGAACAGGTCTCTCCCAAATCCAAAAACTAGAGTGCTAAACTCAGATTTGCAATGACAAAGGGTATAAAGTCTGGAGCTGCTCCATAGACAAGGAATTGGGAAGGATGTTCCCAATGACATTGAGAGCACTCAGTGGAATGATTTCAGCAAATGGGTACATTTTGTGCTTCAAAACTGAGAACACTACAGTAGCATAAAACTAATTTTGGTACCTCAGTGAATGTACTTAGTTACATTAAAGCACTGTGTGAGACTAAAGCTGAGCTGCTGATTGGTTGGTCCCTTGGTCCACACAGGCAGGGCTTGGCGGGCTCAGTGAACGTGACAGGGGACGATGTGAAGAAGCTGGACGTGCTGTCTAACGAGATGGTCATCAACATGCTGCAGGCCTCCTACAGCACGTGCTGCATGGTGTCTGAGGAGAACGAGGAGCTCATCGTCACTCCCAAAGAGAAGAGGGTTAGTAGGGAACAGGAGCACGACGACACTGCATGATGATGGCTATACTAGGGATTTTCATGTTTTAAAAGTTTGTGCAGGAACACACCTGTCCTACAACTCACAAGTTGATAAGATAAACCTTTATCAATCAGTCTTTGCAGGGGTGCATTCAGGTGTTGCAGCAGCACATGCAATATGAAATAAGCAGGACTGTATTTTTAAGTAATAATAGTTTATGTTGTCACAGGGGAAGTACGTGGTCTGTTTTGATCCTCTGGACGGCTCCAGTAATATCGACTGCTTGGCTTCCATCGGCACCATATTTGCTATTTACAAACGGGTGAGTTTGACCTCTGCGGAGACACACAACTCATGCAAGCACTGACGAGAATATTCTGATATCACACAGTGTTCATATTTACTGCTGTTCAGTAAAAAAAAGTCCTGTTTTTAAATGATGTAACAGATGGTAAAGTTCAGGTAAAGCTGTTCCCTGCAGCTAAACTCTCTTTACACAGCACACACTATTGTTGTGCTTTTAAATGTAACTGTTTCAAATGTTTGTTTATATGATTATGGCTCATTGTAAATATTCACTGCTCTCCATACATTACCTACTGTGTGGAGGTGTGAGTAAATACACACAAAACAATCACAAATACGATAAGTAATGCTACAGAACAGAGATAAAAGGATTATAAACAGAGCTGATTAACCAATAAATTATGTATACACTGACATGATCTCAAATGTAGGGATTTGGTGGACTTTAAAACTGCACGATAAATGCATGAAGTAAAAAATAAGATGCCTCCAGACTGTGCCCAGATGTTTTTGGTTAAATATGATATACATATATCTTGTTTTGCTTGTTCCTTTGATTTTCAAGGAGGGGTAGGTGCAGTTAGCTAAGGATACTGAATAGATTCAGAATAAAAAGTGTCAAAGTGCAGTAAGAAGTGCAGTAACACACTGCAGACAAAAGGGGGCACTGCTGTCCAGCTAATCTGAGTTTCAGCTTCCCAAACTGCATGCAAAAGGAGTCATTTAATCATTTAAAGGGATTGCAGTCTGTGTTATTGGCCTAGCATTAAGTGGGTTCAGGAAGTTAAACTAAATTCTGAGCCTCTACATTTGGCCCTATCTATCACCCTCTCTGTTGTTGTTTATTGAACCCTTTTTTGATGTAAATATTTGCATACAGTTCTTGAAACAGACACTTCTAGGAGACTGAAGTCTACATGATGCCACTGTTCATGTTTTGTTGGTTTATTTCAGACATCGGAGGGGGAGCCCACAGAAAAAGACGCCCTGCAGCCGGGAAAGGACATCGTGTGTGCAGGATACACCCTGTACGGCAGCGCCACACTGGTGGCCCTCAGCACTGGCAGCGGCCTCAACTTCTTCATGTTGGACCCGGTGAGTATCTCACACTCACTGCTATTAAAGCTGGGGCAGGCAGAAATCTGGATAAAGGAAAAATATACCCTCCTCCTGCAGCTCTTCCCTGTCTTTCCCACGCCCCTCCCACCAAACAACCACAGACATGTGCATGTGCTCCATAAGGTAACCCAGTGTTTCCCACACATTGATTTATTTGATATTATGTCATTGGGCTCAATGCGTTCGCTCAGCCCCTCCTCGTCCCATTCTCTTTCTCTGTTTATCAGAACACAAATGAGACAAGAATTAGCTAGCTAGCCACCCTTACAGTCCCTCCACCTCGCAGCTCGGGAGACGGACCCTCAGTCGGCGGTTGTGGTGGCCTGAATTTGGCTAGCAAAAACCCCTGCCACCCAGTGTCACAGTGGGCTGGTGGCCAGTGGCAGCATTAGGTCTAACCTGTGTAACTGCAGCAACAGAAAGTTTGCTGATTATGGTGTATGATTTTTATTGCTTCTGGACTATTATTGTAGGACAGAAATACCTGTGCATTGTATTGTATCATATCATATCGGCTCTCGCTAACATTAGCTAAGAAAACATAGACTTGAATCCGCAGCTGTGAGCCTTTAGCTCCACTTCGCAGAAGACTAAACTATTAGCAACATTTTCTCTCCATCTCTGAAATGCTTGACCAATATCGACCCGTGTTTCATTTCGTTTATCGTCAGACTCTCTGTTAGACTCTTTTTGATGAGTCCGTCTTTTATTTTTCGGTTGCTTTGTAGTGTAGGTGGTTGTTGCCAATGCTGGAATAGCAACTTTCTCTGCAGGACTCACCGCCATTGAATCGGGCTGCACCAAAGGGACATGAACACACATCTGCATTAATAGAACAGCCAATACGAACACCCTCTCTCTGAAATGACCTGTGATGGCCAGAGTCTCCTGCCACAGGTTAAATTTTCTAAAGCCTGAAAACAGAACCAAGAGGAGGTGCAGAATTCTAGTTTTCTCTCCGTCCACTTAAAATACAATATGCTCAAAGCTTGTTCTGGAATTTTTGCCCAATGACACCAAAATAAAATTGCTCACCCCAGATTTAAGAAAATCAAGATTTGTCGCACAAGATGTATGGCTGCTCCCGTGCTTTATTCCCACACCAAACAAATAAGCAACGTTTCGCCTAATGTTGGAGGCTTCATCAGGCTGATGAAGGCTTCGATGCCTGATGAAGCCTCCAACGTGAGGCGAAACGTTGCTTATTTGTTTGGTGTGGGAATAAAGCATGGGAGCAGCCATACATCGTGTGCGACAAATCTTGATTTTCTTAAGTTTTTCCTTTGATGTCAGCACCGATTGGAAAAAGTTTATTCGGAGGATGTGCATTCTTTATATTTGTTTCACCCCAGATTTAAACATTTCTAGGTTTCCTTGAATATCTGACATCCACCACTGTCTTCTCTGCTCTACCCTACTTTATTATCTCTCCTTTGCTGTCACTTTTTACTGTTATATGCTTTTATTGGCCCATAAGTGCTTTTATTTGAGAAAACATTATCCTGTCAATCATTCCTCCAGGCTGCACCTCTCCACAGTGCAATCGTGGATAGGGAAGACAGTAAACACACACAAATCCTTTTTATTTGGCAGAAAGTTTGTCCCACTTTAACTATCATCATCTGTATAGTATAATTCATACTATGCAGTGCAAAAAAGAGCACAAATTCAGGACTGATGTCATACCTTCAACCTTTTTTGTACGTATTGGAGGTTGTTTCACTTCTCAGTATCCCTGACTGGAGGTCATAGCATAATTTGTTTTATTTTTATCATCTCTCATTGTTGTTTTAAGTCAGGCAAACCCTTTAATTACTGTCCCACTCCCACAAGGACTTACTGATATCATATCATATTCTGCATCATACGCCAGAGTCAGACTTTCTTTTTTGGCTCCGTGGCAACAACCAATCATTGAGTATTTGCCTTAGAAAAGCAGCTTTAGTTATTACAGGATGAAAAGGGTTCAGTGTGTGTTTGTAAGTAATCTTGTTGTTGAGCGTTGTGCTGTTTCCAAGCATGCGATTCACCAACCACAAGAGATCTGCAGGCCTAAAGACAATAATGTTATTAGTGAAAAATACTGGGGTGTTGAAGCAGATGAAGCTACCCTAGTAGTACTAAGCACTGACTGGTTGTGAATGCTATCCAGGTCCACTGAGGGGTGTCCGGCAAGAACAATCCAACGTCACTTATTTCTTAGTTTCTTTTATTTTGTGCCACACAATCAACACACACTCAATTCTCAATAGGTGTTGTGGTTATACAGGTTGGTGTGGTTCTGTAAATACACATATCACAATTAAATTAATGCTGCCTGTAATGTTACAATAACCCAAGAAACTTTGAATAACAAACATATGTGAAGCATTCACCATATGAATATCAAACTTTAATAATAATTGGCACCTGAGCTAGTAAACCGCCAATAAACAGATCAGGCACACGTTCACAAAGAGAAATATTGTTATGACAATGCTGTCCTCTGTTGGTGAAGAAGGTAAATATCGGTTTGACCCTATGCTACGCCGCCCAGAGCCTCAATGTCTGCACTCAGTTAACACAGCACAACAGGCCCCAATGAAGTAACTTTACCAATCCAGTAACAGTGGCTAATATCTTAACTATATAAGAACACTGTAGAGCAACTAATCATTATCTAAAAAGGACATGCAATAGCCAGACTTGGGTCTTGAATGACTCTCAATAAATGCACGATTAATTAAAATGAAACATAGCATCCTCATCAATAAACACCTTTAACACACTGCAAAGTCCTGCACATTGTGCCTGTTCCCACCCATGGTTAGACTTACAGTTTGATGTACGCACACTAAAATATCCACAATGTAAGTCCAAATCCAACAAGGGAAACACCATTAGAGGGCCACCGCTTAGATTATGGTGCTTCGCAGTAGAGAGCCAAAAGTGTTCTGATCCAAGAGTTGCAGAGCACAACCTTGCTGCATGCTTATTGGTGAATAGTCCAGGTGGAGCAGATGGATGCTGACAGAGAGAGGTGGTATTATATGATCCAGTTCAGTCTGGTATCTGCTATCATTTGTAATGGACTGTACTCCCTCCATAAGTATATTAAGGTTGTTCTGAAATATTTTCTTTCCCTGAAAACATATTATTAATACGATGTCCAGATGATGGTTTTTATACAAAAGCATACTGAGTGTGTTTTTATCCAGAATGGCTGCTGTCCTGATTTATAATGTTGTATGATGTGGCACTTTTTTAAACCTCTTTTTCATTCGAATCTACCTTAAAACAAATCTGACTGTTGCGAACTGAATTTAAATTCTCCGCCAAATTTAAGAAACTGATTTGTTAAAATAAATTTAGTCTTGTAGTTTGCTCTGGCGTTTGGATTATCCCACCTAAACACCATGTTCTTGCTCCTCAGGCCATCGGTGAGTTCATCCTGATTGAGAGGAACGTGAAGATCAAGCCAAGGGGGAAGATCTACAGTCTAAACGAGGGCTACGCCAAGTACTTCCACCCCTCTATCAACGAGTACCTCAAGCACAAGAAGTACCCAGAGGTAAGAACATACCACAAATTAAACTACTAGACACATCACAAACATAATTTGACCCAAAGCTTTGACATAAATCAGTTTTACTTTGTGTTTGTGGTTTTAAATCTGACACCTTTCAACCAAAGTTGTACATTTAGCAGCTGTTTTGCTGACACACGCAGCAACACTTGTGCTCCGTCCTGAGGCAGGATTTCAAACACCAGCGGCCTCTCACACTCGTCATGTGAATCCTGACGAAGCATTTGCTCTGGCAGAATGACTTCACGTGAGGACTTCTGGTTGGCTGCACACGGAAAAACATTTTTCCAAAGGGTGTCAGCGGATCAGAATTCTGTTAATGTTTCAGCTGCAGAAACAATGACGAGGAGAAGCTACTTTTCAGTGGTGGAAGAAGTACTCAGATCTTTTAATTAAGTAAAGGGCTTTAAATAATGCTCTGTTACATGTTAAATTCATATATTCAACTAGACCAATGTTATATATTTTGTTGTGACATTCCCACAAACGTTTCCAGCGATGTTCAAACCCAGAGGAATCAAGGACAGAGTGCATGTCATTTCATCAGATTTTCTGTTACGACAGACAATAAAGTTTTCTGAATCTGATCCGCATCATGTCCGCTTTGCACATGCATCAGGGTTGTGGTTGTCTGCCAGAAGCTGTCATAAACTGACTCTTTATCCAGTTTTAAGCCACATTTTTATGGTATGCTTTTAAGATCTTGGTCAATTTTAAGCCTTTTTTTTTGGCTTTTATTGGACAGGCCAGACTAAGTGTGAAAGGGGAGAAAGAGAAGGGATGACATGCAACAAAGGGCCGTGGGCTGGAATCAAACCCATGACTGCTGCGGCAAGGATATTGCCTTCGTACATGGGCTGCCAGCTTTACCCACTGAGCTAATGGGCGCCCCTTAAGCTATTTATTTTTACCAGATGAAGGCTTTTAAGTCATCAAACATCTCATTTCACCTCATTTTATTTTGACAGTAAATACTGATGTGAAGTAATTTGCCTTGTGAACCACTTAAAATCTGGTTGGCTGATGATACGGTTTGCTGCAGCTCTAACAGACTGAGCAGTGACAGTGATCAAGACCTGATTCTAAGTATGTTACTGTTGTTTCAGTGAGAATTTTACACTGTATAGTTACTCAAATAAGTGCACAAAAATACCCCTGACTTAAGGGTAAATTTAAGGTGAAAGTCTTGACTTTAAACGGTTGAAGTAAGGATGCTTCATGCAGCCAAGTGCCACAGTCAGTGTGGGCAAAGAGTGACCCACAAACATGTGATGGAGCAGTCGAGTGTGACCGTTCGATCAGACAGGACGAAGCTGGGTCAGCTGAGCTGCAGGATGGCGACACTGTTTACTGCAGGAAACATCGTGTTCCTCAGGAAACGGCAGCTACTCATGTGGAAACTCTGATCTCCACACATGCACAGTCAACACTTCTGCAGCAGTGCGGTCACGAACGTACTAAAAAATCTGTCATATTTTATTCGTCAGTTACCATTTTTATAGCTTCAGCAAAGCGGTTTGAAAGGAAGAATCCACTTAAGACCTGTTTTTGAGGATCAAACAACCTGTAGGCTTGAAAAGGTGGCTCTAAAAAGTTTGCAGCCTGCAGCAGACATAGTCGGCTTGAATTTACGTCGGTGAGAATGGATTCTGAAATTTACTCAGGGCAATGGCAAAAATGTAAATAAAAGTTTAAAAACTTCCAAGGAAACATTTCAAACCACTCTCACAGCAATGATCCACTTTTCATCTGTCCAGTTTACTCAGTGTGTTCCAAACACTTCCACCAGAACGGATGGAGCTGTTTATATTTATCATTTGTCATTTGCAGCTGCTTTTGTTTACGTCAGTCAAGTTTTCTTTTGGAGAAGCAGAGTTTAGTTTTAATGCACCACATACCTGGAAACAACTCTTAAGACTTTTTTTTGTTTGCCACTGCCCTTTACTAAATCAAATTTGGGACCATTTATTCATACCTTGCATTTCATTTTATTCTGTTTTATTTTACTCCTTCAAATCCTAGTTTTAATATCTTCATTTTACCTCGCGTAAGGTTTTTTCTTGATGCCTTTTACATTTTATATAAAGCACCTTAAATTGCCATGTTGTCCAAAGGTGAATACAAATAAACTTTCCTTACTATTTTTGGGTATTAAAGGTATTCTCATAAGATACACACAAACACAGCATTATTTAATAGCATCTTTCATACATGAAACATGGTTCAAGGTGCAGTACAAAGCAGAAATTCTGATGCCGATGTTAATACCAATTCAGTGATCAATTTAAAGGTTAAGTTTGCATGTTCTCCCCGTGTGCGCGTGGGTTTAATTGGTGACTCTAAATTGTCCGTAGGTGTGAATGTGAGTGTGAATGGTTGTCTGTCTCTATGTGTCAGCCCTGTGATAGTCTGGTGACCTGTCCAGGGGGAACCCCGCCTCTCCCCAATGTCAGCTGGGATGGGCTCCAGCTCCCCCGTGACCCCTAACAGGAGAAGCGGTTACAGAAAACGAATGAATTAATTAATGAATTTAAAGGTGCAGTACTTTAAATTGTGTTGGGAGGCAGTGTTGTAGGCATGAAAAAGACAATGTCAGTTGTGCCTTCTCTTCTGCGAACACCTTAAGTTAATAACCGTCATTGAACGCTCATCATCATGTTACACTTCACATCATGATACAGCACAATTCCACAGCAAACCACATTGTTACTCACTGTTGTGTGTCGAAATAGCCAAATGTTGCCTCACAAGGATTTACTGGAATGCAAATGTTGCTGAAAAGACGTACAGGAAAGTTTAAATCTAGTTCAAAGGTGGTATCATTCTTTCTTTCTTTCAAACCTCTTTGCTTGTTTGTTAACCTGTTTGAAACATGTCACCTGTTGAAATAAAACTCTCGCCATAACAAGGCTGCAAATGCAGAACGACTCCCAAAACTGAAGTCTGGAAAATGAGATGAAGAACACATTGTAGTACCTATGTGTTACACAAATCTTTTTAGAACTTCCTAAACCATTTGCCTGAGTTGGCTTTTCTTCAAAAAAGTTTTGTTTTTTTTTCAAATTCGAGCCAAAAGAAGAAGACTGTAACATGAGATTTAACACTGACATACTTTTAGAAATATTGGATTGCAAACTGTCGTTCCTGCCAGCATTAATAAACTTTTAAAACTTGTAGTATTTTTTTAGAATAATTTTCATTCACAACTTTCCCACACCCTCTTACTACTCTGTCTACTCTCTTTTTCGTTTTCTCTTCCTCTAGGAAGTTTCATGTTGTCTCAACTGTTGCCAGCTGGATGTGTGTTTTCTGAGAGAGTTGCGTAGCATGGGAGGGTCTGTTTTTGGGAAATACTATGCACACACACACACACACACACACACACACACACACACACACACACCACTCCCTCATGATGACTGGGATGTGACTCAGCAAGCACATGAATGTGCCGTCTGAACATGAGGCTCACTCCAGGGCAACTCCACTCAGATTAAGACAAGAGTGCTGTTGTGTTTTAAAAGTGGAGTTTGGTGCGTTGAGCATTTAAGTGTGGAGTCAGTTAAAGAAACATGCTGATATAAATAAAAGATGCTCAGATACACCTCCCACAAATAAAACCGGACAGTTCATCCTCTGAAAGTCCATTTGTTGAGCCAAACAGTGATCTAGAAACAGCCTGTTTTTGCAGGTTTGTGTAACATGAGTCTCCTCCTCTGGCAGGATTAACGTACGTTCCAGCTGCTGCAGACGGACTTTGACCCGTCTGTTGTTTGCTCTTTGGTTTTTTTATCATCGGCAGGTCAGAGCGGCCCATGACCTCTGAACGAAGCACGTCTGCTGTATGTGCAACTTTCAAACCAGCTGCCTGACTGACCTGTTTGTATATTACCCTTTGTTAATTATACTGTATACAGTGTGTCATCTACACGGGATATCAACATGTGTGAAAGCCATCTGTCACTCTGATACCCAGAAAAAAATCTACTGTATGTATACAAACCAGTTTCCTTTCATAAGCAAAATGCACTGTCATGTTTTGTTTCTCAAAATAAATAGAAACAGGGCTGGCCCCAGACTTTTGGGGGCCCTATGCAGGATTTGGTTCGGGGGGGACACTAATTGTAACATACTGCCACTTCACATGGCACTGAACCAACCTGTGCACTGTTAATATTAGCTTAGGCACACTAGAGATGCTCGGATGGCATTTGAGCGCACCCGAATTCTCGTGTACTCATCAATCATCCACCCGCCACCCACCCAACATAATTATCTTCTAAAATTTAGAGACCCGCACCCAACCCGCACCAAACATTAAGTTATTGTATTTACATTTAAATTATGTCCAGCCGTTTGTGCTCATTTGCTTTTCATATAGGTGCATTTTCTTGAATTAAACAATTAAAAGATTATCGAATGTGGTCACATTTCTAATGTAAAAATTACTCTAGCCTAATATTGTTTGCTCTGTTGCAATAATAAAAGTCTTTGAAGTAAGTCAAGTCCTCTTGTGCCTTGTTTTATGGAGTGCGCGGTCCCCTCCCTTTTTCATACGGGTAACTGACATATCCACCCGAAATTAATTGCAATGTTAATTTTTATTGGCCCACCCACACGCGGATTGCGGATATCCACAGATGTTGAGGATATACAGTACAGGCCAAAAGTTTGGACACACCTTCTCATTCAATGCATTTTCTTTATTTTCATGACTATTTACATTGTAGATTCTCACTGAAGGCATCAAAACTATGAATGAACACATGTGGAGTTATGTACTTAACAAAAAAAGGTGAAATAACTGAAAACATGTTTTATATTCTAGTTTCTTCAAAATAGCCACCCTTTGCTCTGATTACTGCTTTGCACACTCTTGGCATTCTCTCAATGAGCTTCAAGAGGTAGTCACCTGAAATGGTTTTCCAACAGTCTTGAAGGAGTTCCCAGAGGTGTTTAGCACTTGTTGGCCCCTTTGCCTTCATTCTGCGGTCCAGCTCACCCCAAACCATCTCGACTGGGTTCAGGTCCGGTGACTGTGGAGGCCAGGTCATCTGCCGCAGCACTCCATCACTCTCCTTCTTGGTCAAATAGCCCTTACACAGCCTGGAGGTGTGTTTGGGGTCATTGTCCTGTTGAAAAATAAATGATCGTCCAACTAAACGCAAACCGGATGGGATGGCATGTCGCTGCAGGATGCTGTGGTAGCCATGCTGGTTCAGTGTGCCTTCAATTTTGAATAAATCCCCAACAGTGTCACCAGCAAAACACCCCCACACCATCACACCTCCTCCTCCATGCTTCACAGTGGGAACCAGGCATGTGGAATCCATCCGTTCACCTTTTCTGCGTCTCACAAAGACACGGCGGTTGGAACCAAAGATCTCAAATTTGGACTCATCAGACCAAAGCACAGATTTCCACTGGTCTAATGTCCATTCCTTGTGTTTCTTGGCCCAAACAAATCTCTTCTGCTTGTTGCCTCTCCTTAGCAGTGGTTTCCTAGCAGCTATTTGACCATGAAGGCCTGATTGGCGCAGTCTCCTCTTAACAGTTGTTCTAGAGATGGGTCTGCTGCTAGAACTCTGTGTGGCATTCATCTGGTCTCTGATCTGAGCTGCTGTTAACTTGCCATTTCTGAGGCTGGTGACTCGGATGAACTTATCCTCAGAAGCAGAGGTGACTCTTGGTCTTCCTTTCCTGGGTCGGTCCTCATGTGTGCCAGTTTCATTGTAGCGCTTGATGGTTTTTGCGACTCCACTTGGGGACACATTTAAAGTTTTTGCAATTTTCCGGACTGACTGACCTTCATTTCTTAAAGTAATGATGGCCACTCGTTTTTCTTTAGTTAGCTGATTGGTTCTTGCCATAATATGAATTTTAACAGTTGTCCAATAGGGCTGTCGGCTGTGTATTAACCTGACTTCTGCACAACACAACTGATGGTCCCAACCCCATTGATAAAGCAAGAAATTCCACTAATTAACCCTGATAAGGCACACCTGTGAAGTGGAAACCATTTCAGGTGACTACCTCTTGAAGCTCATGGAGAGAATGCCAAGAGTGTGCAAAGCAGTAATCAGAGCAAAGGGTGGCTATTTTGAAGAAACTAGAATATAAAACATGTTTTCATGTTTATTTCACCTTTTTTTGTTAAGTACATAACTCCACATGTGTTCATTCATAGTTTTGATGCCTTCAGTGAGAATCTACAATGTAAATAGTCATGAAAATAAAGAAAACGCATTGAATGAGAAGGTGTGTCCAAACTTTTGGCCTGTACTGTATGTGCAAGATTTGCATCTCTAAGGCACACATAATGTATAAATGACCACTCTAAGTGTTTTTTTTTGTCTCTTTTGACCAGAAGTACACTTTTGTTTCCATACTTTCAACAACACCTTTGACTCCCACTTTAATACGAAGGGAAGTTGGGGCCTCTGTATAATTTGCAGAGCCCAGCGCAACTTGTGTAGTAAGCCAGACGCCCGAACCGCCTCAACTGACCACCCCACCGAGGAAACTCACTTCGGCCGCTTGTATCCTCAACCTCATTCTTTCAGTCACTACCCAGAGCTCATGACCATAGGTGAAGGTCGGGACGTAGATAGACCAATAAATCGAAAGCTTCACCTTCTGGCTCAGCTCCCTCTTCACCACGACAGTCCGGCACAGCGCCTGCATCACTGCAGAAGCTGCACCAAACCACCGATCCATCTCACGCTCCATTCTACCCTCACTTGTGAACAACACCTGATATACTTGAACTCCCTTACTTGGGGCAGTAACTCTCTCCCAACCCAGAGGGAGCAAGCCATCGTTTTCCAGCAGAGAACCATGGCCTCAGACTTGGAGGTGCTGACTCTCATCCCGACTGCTTCTCACTCGGCTGCAAACTACCCCAGTGAATGCTGGAGGTCACAGTGTTTTAAAGCCAACAGAACCACATCATCTGCAAAAGCACAGATGCAATCCTGAGGTCACCAAACCAGACCCCCTCCTCCCCCCGGCTGCTCTCTATCAACAGAGAAAGAAAAGCTTTTGCATTTCATATTAGCTGAACAACATGACTGCAAAAGAGATCAAAGTTCTGTATCACATCTAGTGATGCCTCGTAGAACATGTGAGTGTCTATTTCAGTGTGTGCAGGGTCATAGATGAATGAAAAGCTGTGTGAACAACCTTTCCTTTTACATGCGGTACTTTTTTCTTTTAAACCACTTGTTGGGACTTGTTTTTACCAAACAGGTCATTTAAAGTATTTTTTAAGCTTAAACATTGAATTTTTTACAGGTCTCTTTTCTTTATGGAAATTAGAAAGTCAAATAAAGAGTGGCTTATCTAAGCGGTTATAACACGAGGTAGTTTTATGTAACGACCATGTTCAGAAGTGAGTGTGTGCTGGGCCTGTTAGCCTGGAGCCATTTGTGTGTTAAGTTTATAAAACAGTCACTTTTACTGAGTGCTTTAGACAACAGTTGTTTAAAGGTCCAGTGTGGTTGTAGGATTTTGGGGGAATCTATTGGCAGAAATGGTGTTTCATATTCATAACTATGTTTTCATTAGTTAATCATCAACTGAAAATAATAATATTTGTATCTACATACAGAGTGGGTCCTCTTCGGCCATGTTGTTTCTATAGTCGCCCAGAATGGACGAATCAAACTCTGTCTCTTGAGAGGCACATCCATGTTTTCAGCCACTGTTTGCATTGGAATCCATTGTAACTAACACGGGAACAAGCTGCTCTTTTATTTGATACAAATATGGGATACAGCTGTTTGAAAACATTCTTCACTTCATGTACTAATATTAAAAATATATCTTTACTTCCTGCAGGATGGCAGTGCCCCGTACGGAGCTCGTTATGTGGGCTCTATGGTCTCAGATATTCACCGCACCATTGCCTATGGAGGAATCTTCATGTACCCCGCAAACGAGAAGAGCCCCAAAGGAAAGGTAACTACTGACCTCCACAAAGCCATGTTACCGCAGCCAGGATCATCAGATTAATACAACCAGCATTTCGTTTTGACATCACTGAACAAAGGACCATATGCAACAGGCCGTAGCCTCATATCTGACTTCAACACATCTTATGTTACTGCGCGATTCAGTCAAATAACACTCCATATGCAGATCACAGAGGGAACACTCAACCCTGGTTTCCAGGGATCTTCAAATGTATTTTTTAAGGATCTAATAAAGGTCTACTATGTGTGCAGAATGATAGAATATTTTAGCGAGAAACCATAGTTTGCAGAGGTTACAGGCGGGACGGCATCAGGCTCGAGACTTTTGGTGACGCATGCTAGCCCACCAAAAATCACCACCGCTACCACTCTGTATAGTCCATCTCTCATAGTTAAATAATGGTGAAATACTAAACACTATATATCTACATAGACATGTGTTTTTGATGGGACAAATATAGTGAGTAAAAGAGTTGACACTACACATATTCACTGACATAATTCCATCATGTGAGAAAAACGAAAACAAACCACAAAACAGATCTTTACCACAAAAACTTTGGCTATACTTACCCTACATAAACTCCAAAACTTACGTATGAAAATCAAACGCCTGCACCAATTTACCAGAAAGTTAAGTGCAGAGGCAGTGACTTAAACTGGTGTATTAAAAGGTAACTTATTTTCAACCTCATGCTTTTGTGTCTGTGTGTCTAATGGAGACAACCATTTTTGTAATTCGTACAGTATTGAGCGAGAAGGCTGCAGACAGCAGCTACAATTTATGCTGCAGTGTAACCTTTCAGGGCCTTTGTGCACCGTCAGTTTACATCCATTAGAAGTGTTTGTTTTTGCCACTGATAGGCTCAAGTGTTTGACAACAGCGTGGAAAGGATCCCTACAGAGATAGACCATTTATTAAAGAGTAAAATCCTCTTTGTTTAACTAGAAACAGCACCAAAATTGTGATCACCAAAGCTATCAGACTCTGTTTAATTAAACAGTAATTTTATCATATTAAGCCCCTTTTACACTGCTAGATTTTCGGTGAATGTTGGGCTGTTTTGCAGGCGAGCTGCAAGCGTTTATACACACAGAGGCGGATTGGCGAGTTGATGCGAGGTGCCCAATTTTCCGCCTCGTAGGGTAGACATATTGGCAGAACCTTTTTAGTTTAAACAGACCGAGGTGGCCTTCCGCAATGAGAGGGGCTGTTGATGACTTGTGGGAGGAGCTGTTGATGACGCTGCACGTGCGAGCCACTGGCGGTGGACTAACAGGAAACAGCTGATAGCAGGAATTAGCGAGCAGCTAGTAGCAAGAGGGAAACACAAACCTGACAGACACTGTAAAGATGAGCAACTGGGGAGACAAGGAATTGTGCGCCCTCCTTGCCCTCACAAACGAAGAGGCCATTAAAAGTCAGATGACGGGGACGGTGAAGGACGGGACGACTTACGAGAGAATCGCTGAAGGACTGACCAGCCGCAGCTTCCCTCCCACGTCACTGTTTACATCACACGCTGAGCTACATGTTTTGTTACTTGCTCACGCCCCCCATTGCCCCGAAAAAGGCACATTCTGTATAAACAAAAGTAGGCAGGCGGCATTTTGCTGCACTCCCCGATTTTGTTTTTATACTGCCAATGCTGAAAGAAGACTGATTGGGCTTTCCTGCAAATTTGCACAATTCCTATCTAAAAGGGGCTATGTTAAAACACACTTCATTTAACATTAAGGCCAAACAATCCCAGTCACAACAGCAGTGTTGGAGATGGCGCAGACACATGAATGCCACTCTCCAAAAATATTTTGGAGAAAAATATGTTCAATTATAAAAAAAAGATCCGGGATATGAAATGTCAAGGTCCTGTAATTCGGTGCAATAAGGGAAGATGGGATGAATAAAAAGATTGGTATCTGTGTACAACACTTTTGATGCCAGCACAAAAGTGATGGATGGACATAATCAAGGAGATCTTTATAAGGGAAAAGACAGAGGGCTAGAGAAGCAATATTCCCGAGAAAATGGGAGAAATGGACTGTCTTTATTTCAGAGGATGGACGCAGCTTCACCGTGAATGTCTGGACAATAAAAGGACATTTAACATGCGGACTTATGACACACAGTCTTCTCTATTTAAAAATGCTTTGAATAAAGAGTTATAAAAAAACAAACCAACACAAACTTCATTCAAAGTCAACTTAAAAAAAAATATGAAACTTACAAAAATAGAAATAAACCATTTATTCACCCAGTTAGATGTAAAAATATGCCACAAAATTACTTTTTATACAAATAGATTCCAGTAGAATTGGCAATAGCAATTTGGGCTATTACTGATTAAACAAAAATGATGTTACTCTTTAATAAGAAGGTCTATCTCTGCAGAGATCCTTTCAGTAACACTGTCATACACTGTCAGTGGGAAAAACAAGTACTGTCTGTGTATGTAAACTGATGCACAAATCCTCCAAGTGTTAAGCAGCACTGTCTCAACACTGGCCCAATGTAAAAAAAAAAAGTTGTCTCCATTAATCAATGAGACACAAAACATGGGAACATAAAGTCCAGGTTGAAAATACCGCAGTTGCCCTTGTATGAACCTGTTGAAGCAGAGTCATGTGTCATAATGTGCCTCAGCAGGTCACATCACACGGCCAATCAGAGTTACAAGTCTTTTTTGTGTTGCAGCCTGATAAAAAAAGAATCAAATTTATATCCAGATTACAGCTGATTATGAGCCTCTGCAGTTCAAGGCACAGATTTAGGCATGTAACCGACACCCACACCCTCAGTGACAGACTGTACAGGATGTTTGCAGCAGTGTAATCTGAGGACGGAGGTGTTTTTCTCGCACTGAGATAAATAAAGCTCAGAGACAGTTGAGGCTCGTCATAAAGATAAACAGCAACCTCTCACCCATTTTCTTTCAGGCAGCTTGACTCTGTGACCCATTTATCCCGAGTATTCTGTCTTTATTTACATCTCTAACAGAGTTTTATTATCCATGTGCTCAAATTACAAAACAAAACAGTCAAATAAGATTCTATTTTTGACTTTAATAACAACACAAGTGGGACAGTAGCTTGATGGCAAAGCTCCTGAAAACATGACAGCACACAGATTGTTCCATAATGACCCACATCCTGAAATTACTCACTGTTAACTTTACGTGTTACATAGAGACAAGACAAGGCTACCTATTTAGATATTGCATTGTAAACACAGTGGGAGTTCAAAGGGCTTTACAAGTCTCATTTCCTTGTTTGCCTCAGTAACCAGACACAAATACTGATAAATAAATGCATATTAATAACAAATAAAATACACAATAAGTAAAAATAATAATAGTAATAATGATAAATGAGTCTATCCACCCTCAACAGACGCTTCTTCTTGCATAACATAGGTAATAAGACAGAATGAGTATGAAACAAATCAACAAAAACACAATTAGAGTATTGAAATGTTTTTTAATTTATAGTAAATGGCAAAAACCAATGCAGATGCAAACGGTAAATTTTTGGCATGAACATAAGATCACATAAGAAGTGGTTAAATTCAGAGTTTTATTTTACCAAATTATACAATACAGGATTGCATAATTAAATGTTGTCGTAGTTCCCTCCACACTACACAAAGAGAACATATATAAACATATGTTCAAAAATTTAAATGACAATAGAAAATAAACAATAAAACAGACAATAACAAAGAACAAACTATATAAAAGTAGTACCATGGAAACCAAAAATCTTTGAACTGTCCACCAAACTTAACCCGGGTTTTACACACACACTTCAATCGAAGTGTTCTGGGAAGTGAAACCGTTTAAACTTGGCTGCTTCGAGAACAATATTTTAAACAAACATTTCCAGAGTGAGGTTGCAGCGTCATTAAATGAATACCATAAATGTTTTCACCATAGACTTCCGTAGAAGTGAAGTATTTTTTACTCAAGTACTATACTTAAGTACAGTTTTGAGTTCTTGCAAATTATGTTTTATTATGAATTATGCTGTCCAGCTGTATATGAAATAATTAGAATTAGCTCCACTTTTACCAGCTGTAACATTAAAGTGATGAACACGTTATTGCATTACTAATTATATTCCAGTCTTGTTTCTGAAATGGACCATTAAGTGCTTTTACTTTAGGTACTTTGAATTAATTTTCATTCTTGCCAAAAACTGCAGTTCCTCAAACGGCCACTTGAGGCTGGCTCCAAAACAGAGTAAATCACCAGAGACCCCTGTGTTATAGCAACACTTACCTTTCTGGAAATTTTACACTTTTCTTTGATTAGGTAAAAATGCTAATAATAAGCTGATGGCACACTAAAATGTAAGTGAATTCCACCAGAGATAAAAACTCATAATTATACCATTCTCATAAAACTCCGACCAGCCATTGCATTCAAGCACCCTGTCTGTCTTCCCCACGTGGAGGCTTCCGACTGATATAACCGCTCGCGTAACAGCATTATATGTGACAGCACAGCATCCAGTTGCTAATGGCTAACGTTAGCCTACTGTAGCATAGCCTCTGAAACATTAACGTTATCTTCCTTGTGTGTTTCCACTTACTAGTAACGTTAAGGCTACTATCTAACGTTAGCACTGTAACCTTATTCTAAAACTCATCAGTCATCACTGACTCCAGTTGAGTTTTAAAAATCCGGGGTTGAGTTTGACTGTCTTAGTTGTAACGTTACACTCGCTCTCCTCTTCCATGTATCTAACGTTACCTTGCCAACACCTACGTCTATCATAGACGTAATGAGGACGTAATGGAGGAGGGGGGAGTAGGCCTTTGGAGGGAGGTGGAGTTGCAGGAGGGGGATGGGACTTTGAAGGAAGGTGGGAGTTGTGGAAGTGCTGTGTGAAATGCAAGAAAGGTAAGAGTAGCTTTAAAATGTGCCGTTACAAAGTCATTAAAGGGGAAATCTGCTCTTCTCTAAAAATACTGTATGTGCATACATTGATCCAAAGACATTAACTTGCGTTTCTTTCTTAAATCTTCTCCCCACAGCTGCGGCTGCTGTACGAGTGCAACCCCATCGCTTACCTCATCGAGCAGGCTGGAGGCATCGCCACCACCGGCACTGAGAGGATCCTGGACATCCAGCCCCAAGCGCTCCATCAGCGGGTTCCCTTTGTGGTTGGCTCCCCTGATGACGTCAACGAGTACTTGACCTTTGTCAAGAAGTACCAGTGATTTACACAGGGATTCTCACAATGTTTCTATAAAAGGCCAGACTTTTGTTTCATCATGCCGAGAAGGTTATTTTTGGATCTGTATGTAAGAAGTGTGAGAGTTATTATAAATGTATGAGATGTCAAATCTCATAGAATTGTAGAATACTTGAATGTTATAATATCAATTATAATATTAAAACCAGATAATTTTTCTATAATGGCAGAATTATGCTACATAGAAATAGAAATAGAGTTACTGATCAGTATGATAGATAATTTGTGATCATCAGAAGTTTGTTCTCTGCAGCTTGTCCTTTTCAAAGTCATTAAACAGGATTTTTAAAATCAAATGATCACTGTTTTCTCCTGCCAAATGTTTTTGGAGTTTCAACATTAAAAAAACTGCTGAATGTTTCTCAGCTTGTGCAACATGTCCTGTATGTGTATATATATATTTCCCATAAGGAGAAAGAGGAAGAAATCAGTTTCTCATTCACGAATGATGTATTTTTGAATCTTTATTGACACGGTGAAAAGCTGCGCAGAGATTCTCATTTTGAGCAACATCCTGAAACAGTTAAATTAAGCAGCTGATTAAAGAAAGTTGTCACGTGTTCACTTGACTCAGCTTCATGTTCTCATCTGATGCACAGTTCAGGTCACGATCCGTCTCACTGCACCTTCATGGAGCAAATAATCCGACTGATTTTATTTGCTCTCCAAATTACAAAATCATAGATAAATGATTTTATTTTTTGCATTTAAATGATTTAAATTAGATAGTAAAAGGTGTTTTGTCACAAATTACAGTTAAAACGTCTCCAGGTGAAACTCTGTCTGACTCTGGAGTTTAATTTGTAGAAACATACATTTTCAGACTGTTAATGATACACTGTTAACAGATCCCTCTTTTGTTACCCTATTTCCGTCTTTCTTTAGTTGTCTCCATCTTTCCGTCTTTTGTTTCTTTCTCTTGTGCCTTGTTTCATTGCATTTTTCTGAGTTAACAGGCACAAATACTGATAAATACATGCATAGAATCTCCTGTATTTTATTCATTTAGTTAACTGTACAATTAAACTGTCTGCACATTTGATGCAATGCCAGGATGAAAAAATTTGTACACTGAGTAAAAACTGAAAGACTGGTCACAATAAAATGTGCTAAAACTACTGGAGTCGTACTTTGAAATAATCACCATGGCTGGACACCACCAGTAGCTCAGGAAGTGCAGTCTCATGTTTTATTTGCTCTGGCAGATTAGCTTGATCTCCCTCCCGTTCTAGGATTTCCATCAGACGTGGCCTGGGTTGGGCCAATCCAACATGTTTACATAAAAGAGTGTTTCAGGAATGAGTCCTAAAACCTGAAAATGAGATAACATATTTGAACTCCCAGTTTCCTTGTCTTAATGTCAACAAGTTTTTCGTATGGGTTTTTGGTTAAATGGCTGAAATAAGGTCTGTGGTTAGAGATTTTTACGTTTCATTGTGTGACATTAAATACGCCGTGACTTTCATTTAAAAAAAAAAGGCAGATGCTAAGAAGTGTGTCATTATGCTGAACACGGCTTTACAGCCTTGTTGTGGTGGTGACGTTGAAGTCACAAGACTATAGTTTGTTTATAGTCTAACATCTGTTTTCACATCTGACGATTGCGTTTCTTCTTCAAAAATCATAACAGTGGTGTTAATTAGTGAAGATTGTCTTGCTGAACAAAACATGTAAGTATCATAAACTTTGTTTGTTGCAGAGCTGATTTTCTGCATTGATCCAAAATCCAATGGCAAAATCCCAGAGGCGTTGTTGCAAGTGAGCCAGGGAGATGTTAACTGAGGGGTTGGCGTACAAAAATCGTCATCCCTGCACCACTCTATGGGCATGTTTGAGATGATGACTGAAAACTTGCGGAGCCTTTGCACATTATGCAAAATTCATGATGAGGTTATAAACCTAGTAAAGAGGAATTCCATTTTCGAAAACAACCAAGACTAGTCCATACCCAGTGAGTGCACAGTTGCCCACGTACAGTTTTACATGGTGTGTGTGGATACTGACAGTTTCCGTGATTATGTACAGCATACCATACCATGACTTAGTCATCCCAAAAATTAGAAAAAAAACCAAACATTGGTCCACAGGGGGAGCCACAGCGATCAGTCACATTTTAGCCATTTTAAAGCATTTTTCTGTTGTTATAGCGCCACCCAGTTGCCAATTAGAGTTAAATTTCTCCAGTCACCTTGAGGCGTCCTGTTCTAAATATCTACCAAGTTTAGTAAAAATCCATATGGCGGTTAGGGCTAGATAAGAAATTAGCTCTCTAGCGCCCCCATTTTGTTTGATGGGGTCAATAATGGAGGGGTCCCCTCAGATTATGTGTGGTCATATGCCTACAAAGTTGCGTGGTGATGGGTGAAACCCTTGAGATGTTATACACCTTTATGTGATGAGCCACGCCCTCCGCAATATTCATTGCCTTATAGAAGCTCAGTTTTAGTAAGTTTTCCAACTTTTGCCAAGAGGGAACTTTAGATATTGGTCCCTAGATTATGTTCACTGAGTTTCATGTAGATTGCTCAAACTTCCTAGGAAGAGATCCATTTGAAGTGTTTTTCAAAAAATTCAAAATGGCAGAAAATCTATATAAGCGGAAGTTATGGGTTCTTGAGGCAAATGTGTTCCTCATGAGGAGAGGCATCTCTGTGCAAAGTTTCATGTCTCTACGACATACGGGGCATGAGATATGCCCATTCATTCCCGCTTTGGCCAATTGATGTAATATTGCTTCATTCACATCCTTCACATTTCACATGGATTGACCAAGTCAGTGAGGAGAAAAACGTGGAACAGACACACAGACAGAGTTTTCGTCATTATATAGTAAGATAAGAAGATGGCTGCAGCTGATGTGGAAATTTTTGTCGAAGTATGATTTTCAAATTCGATGGCAAAACCAGCAACACTTGTTCAGACCATATTGATGCTACACCATCACAGCTCATCTCTGCATGCTGAAGTCTGTTTAGAGTTTTCCACCGCTCGGCGCTATGTCACACCGTCGCTCTGATTGGTTGTAGGTCTATCCAGTTAGGTCCAGACACATTTTGATCTACAGCTGTTGATCAGTTGGAAGTCGACCATAAACTGAGAGGTTCCAGACTAATGCTTACCATACACGAGCACACTTTTAAAAGACCAGAGTCTGACACCCAATCACAAAAGTGTATTTTGTACATTTTGGATTTTGGCCGCCTCAACTCTCTGCCAGCCTCTGTTGGTTAGCAGCGCTATTTTAGCTGGATGAGAGTGTGGGGATGGGAGGTGAACCATTTTCTCATTAAAATAAGTGCTGGTTGGTGGGTCAGATACACACTGAAAGGGCGGCAGTAGCTCGGTCCATAGGGACTTGGGTTGGGAACCGAAGGGTCGCCGGCTCAGATCCCCATACAGACCAAGCATGGAGTATGGACTGGTTGCTGGAGAGGTGCCACTTGGCCTGGTGCTCAGGGAACCCATCCAAGGCTGCCCCCTCGCTCTGACATCTCTTCATTTAATGCATGTATAGGTCCTGTTTGTGCGTGTGTGTATTTCAGGCCTGTGCGTACAGAGTGAAACAAAATTAAATTTCCCCACGGAGATCCTCTTTTTCCAGAGTACTAGAGAACCGAGAATGGTTTACGTTCTTGCGTCTCCCCAGAGTCCCCTCCATGTTCACTGTCCCCTTGGTTTGCTGCTTCTTTTTTGGTGCTGGAGAAAGTGCTGTTATTGGTTGCTGACAGTGTTCATGTCATTAACCTGCATATGTGATTTGGTCTGGTGATGTCAGGCTCCGCCATCAGGGGTAAGCAAGAAACATGAGAAAATAAGTGTATTAATTAAAGTAAACTGACCATTTAATCACTCTCCCTCTTTTGTCACTGTATTTTTTAGGGTTGCACAATAACATCCTCCAGCTGCTCTCACTGTTTGTTCTGCATATCAGCCTGGACTGACCTCTAAGGTGAAGTAAATATGTTACAGAAACAGGTACAAACACACACAACACTGTACTTATATACTTACGAGAACCCTCGTTTACATAATGCATTCCTGGGCCCCTTACCCTAACCTGAACCTAATTCTAATCTGAGTCTCAACACTTAAATCTGAACCCTCAAAGAGGCCTCTGGAGGTCAGGACCGACCAGAATGTCTTCACTTTCACAAAGGCAGACGTACAAGTACACACACACACACCTTAACCCTGACCGGCTTTACCGTTAAGACACTTTAAACACTGTGATTTGGGTCAGTCAGCAGGTCACATCTGACCTGAAATAACTTGTCAAAAGAGAAAGCTTCGCTGGGTTTAACAGCGGTGGAAGAAGTATTCAGGTGTTTCTTTAAGTATAAGTAAAAACCCTGCATTCACAATTTTACCTAAATAAAAGTACAGAAGTATTTGCATAAAAATATACTTTAGGCAACGAAAGTAAAAGTACTCATCTTGGAGAATGGGCTGTTTGGTAATAATGTGTGTTATATCATTGGATTATAATTATAAATGCATGAATGTTGTGCTGGTACCCAGATTACAGTTGATCATAAGGAGCCTGGGATCAGTTTCCTAATTACATTAATATAAAAAAAATATTTACTTGGAGAAACAAATCTCACAAGTGCCTCCATCATGAAAAAATGCCCCCTTAATAATAAACAAATATGTATACAGGAGGATTCGATGAAATTAAAACAGTTAACCAAAGAACAAAATACAGATCTGCCCTGATGCAGGTGACCTAATAGAAACGTGCTCTTTATTAACTCCTCCACCTAAGTGTCAGAATGCTTAAAATCACTCTCAACCTGAAAAGCAAAGGACAGCAAAGAAGTCTCAGAAGAGCCTGCAGACCAGAGTGAATGGCTGATGATATCTACATAACATGAGGTCTGCATTAATTTGAGGGAGGATCGTAGTGCCCTCTGTGTGTGTTTCTCCACCTCTCTTAAGCCCTAAGAAAGGGCATTGTCACACTCTGATTGGCTCAGAGGGGAAATGCACCAAGCTGCTCTCAATTCTTCATCAGTAGTCAGCTCCCATGCAGTGTGCAACAGGTGATCTGAATAATCAATCTAATTAACTCAGGGAACAGTCAGCTGAAATGAACTGGGTAAAGGGAAATGACAGCAAGTACCGAAGAATGAGGGGCAGTTACTTTAATCTTGCAGCTGGTAAAGGTGGAGCTAATTCTAATTGCTTTAAATTTATTTTATTTTGCCTTTTTAATACCATTGACATTAAAAATTTGGACAAAGTAGCAGTCATGCAAAATCACAACATATTGAAACACAACATGAGATACAAGAGTTCACAATAAAACAGAAGGATACATCGACCTCTGAAGAAAAACAACCACCTACCTCCATCACCACATTCTTTATGATGCCTTTAAAGGTCCAGTGTGTAGGATTTAAGGGGATATATTTGCAGAAAGACTATAATAAGTGTGTTTTCTTTAGTGTATAATCACCTGAAAATAAGAGCTGTTGTGTTTTTGTTACTTTAGAATGTTTAAATGTTTACATAGGGAGTGGGTCATCAACTACAAAGATTCCCATGTTGCAACACCATGTT